TGCAAATGATTTCAATATAGGAAGTATTTAAACATCTATGGTTTGTGAGAGGGCTGGGAAGCACACAAGGAAATAACCAGGGGCGGGTAACCATTAACCACAGACGGGCACGGTGCATTTTACCACGGCCTCGTGGGCAAGGTCCCATACTTCTAAACCCAATGCAGAATCTGGCTTTAATCTTTGAACCACAACACGGCCGTATATGCCGTGATATATTTCCATACACTAGCACGACATCCCTAACATGTTATCAGAGATAGAGGCTTCTTGCACTACGCACAGAGCACAAGATCTCAAGCTCAGAATATATTAGAGGTACTCGTTTTCAGTTATACAGAGACTGAAGAAAAYGTCCATGCAAGTCAGTTTTCTCCCTTAAAAGGAGAACATTGTTTCTAAGGGGAATTCCATTCATTTCAGCTTTCAAAACACACACACACACCCTTCTAGGTTTTGAGTGAGATGGCATAAAYAGAGGTGTTTGGAAAACAGGAATATTACTACTCAATATTAGCTGTATATTCTTGCTCCAAATTAAACCCTTCATCAGAAGGTTTTTTTTGCTGTTTCTTAAGAGGGCTGAATGTTGTTCCCAAATAATCTCCTGCTGAAGTCCATCCAAAGCTGCCCATCTCTGAGACTTCTTCCAATGCACTTGGTTTCATAGTAAATCAAGAAGATATAATTTTCAAAAAACATTGCACTGATAAGAATATAAATGTGATCAGCTGATAGGTTTGCAAAACCATCAGCTGGAGGTGTTACTTCCACAGACAAGAATTAACGYTCTTCATACAGGATTCAAACAGCTGAAAAGCAGAGGGGGAAAAAAAAAATCCATCATATGCATACCCTTAAGCAGACACTTTGTAGTTTGTTGTTTTAGAACTTTCCAAAAGATATTGGCAGGTATAAATAATACAGCTGAATCACAACTGAAAAAAAATCAAAAGTGTAGTCACATCATCCTGAATCAAGCCTGTACCAGAATGCTACATTACAAAAAAAAAAAAAAAAAAAAAGTTGTTCAGGACTTCTTATTCACAAAAGCATCCATAAATACATGTGTAGCAAATATATTTACTGAATTATTCATATATTTATTGAATCACAAGTGAAGTTTACAGCAAGTTCACAATTAACATGAAGGAAATTTGAAGTTACAAGCTTGTATTTTTATGCCTCCCCTCAAATCTGACATTCTTTTTAGCTTCAAAAACGAACCATAACACTATGAGATATTTTCAACWGTTTGCAAGCAGTCTCAGTTCCTTCAGTTACACTTGAGGACAAGAAAAAACACCCGAAACTAAAGGAAAACATGGCCACATACACAGCAAAACAGAACAGCCTGCCAAACTCCAGAGTCTGACTCTCCAGACAACTTTAACAGGAGTCCTCACAWCAGTCTCAAACATAACTTAATATCGAGCATGGATTCAGTTTGATGCTATACTGCAGATTTTGCCTGTAAAATAAAGTTCTAAACCACCAGTCAGTGCTGGTTGAGTGGTGCATCAGTCTCACTGTTCAAAGGAAGCATTTAATGAAAGTTACGGCAAAGTCTCTTGACATTTCRAGGCTCCAGCTGCAATTGCTGTGCATTGAAGCAATATGAAAGGCCAGGGGAAGGCCTGTTTCCCTGCTGCCAGCTCCATTCTTTCCTTACCAGTAAGTTCCCTCCTGTGCCTCAAACTATTTCCAAAAACCCCCAAACCTCCAGATGAGGTTAAGGAAACATGGGAAGTACGAGCATGCTGTGTTCCCAGGCCAGCAGACGCGCTGCAGCTTCGTCAAGGACAGGGTCAACGCTGCTAATCTCTCAGTAAATAGAGCATCCTTTCCACCTCCCCCTAGATCAGCACGGCCAAACCTCCTTTCCATCGGAGTAACTGCATCAACAGGAGCTCTATCTTCTGCATTCGGCGGTTTCAGCTGAAGACCACAAAAAATAARTCACCTTTGCAACCAAAACAGTTGCACTGAAAGATCATGTTGCCCTTCGCTGCCCTGCAGTTTAGCAGAGTCAACTKTAAGTCACCTCAAGGAGGTTTTTTTTCATTTTTTTCACACATACAGCTGAAACCTCCCCCATATGATTAACAAGCAACAGAGTCAACTGTGAGAACAGCAGAATTCACACACCAAAAAAACTCACAGGCTCTTGCAAAGCCTAGAGCCAGGCATGATAGGTCAGAAGTTATAGCAAGTAAATTCTGCCTGAATCTGGAAATGCTTGAAGTATTGCCCCACTTGCTGATACAAAACTATTTAACAGATAAAAACAAATTGCTTACACAAGCTTCTAAGACAAGTTTTAGCAAAAATATAAAAAATAAAATAAAAATAAAGAGGCAAACACACATAAATATGGAAAATCAGTGCTCATTTGCCTCWAGTTACAGTTCAAGCCACAGTAATAGCACATCTTACTCCAATGCTGCCTTTCAAAGCAGCAGCAGTAACATCCATCTTTAASAGCAYTGATGCTCAGAAGTTGTATCAAAAYATTCAGATTTATACAGCAGTCAGCATTTCTCCTCAGGGTGGAGAAAGTGTTTATTACACCAGTTTTAGCAGCAACTGTTCACAATCTTTTTTTAGYCTGGCATTCTTGTGGGAAGTACTAAAGCAAACAGTTAGAAGTTTGAGGAACTGTAGTTTTCCCTCAGCAGAACGGTCTCCCTTTTTTTCCTGCCTCAGAAAGTGGTTAGAATTCAGCATCTTCAATTCTATGGCTCTTTATTGATGCTTAAACAAATCTATACTTTAAAACGATAACATAAAATCCATGTCTCTGACTTATACAGAATTCCTTGCCAGAAGCTAAGCAAAGTACAAACAAAGTAACCTCAAACTGAAATCCAGATCAAAATATGATGTTAAAAGGTATTTAAAGTATGGTAAAACAGCGCATTTACCCTTGCTCTGTGGGCAGCTAAATTCCCCAAAGCTACTTATGTTGCCAAAGTGATTCATGATTCTTTTTTATACAGGTGACTCATTAGTGCTTTCACTTTTGAGAAAAGCACCGGAGATTTTGTAAACACAGGCAGACAACCTTCAAACTAGGGCAAGCCTCAGACTTTGTTTAGAGCTAATATTTGCCAATTCCTGCTTAAACTTAAAAAGGAATAATAATAATAATTTAAAAAAAAAAAAACTCCCCATGAGTCAGAGAGCTAGAAACAGACTTTTCAAAATTATCAATTTTCAAGCTGGTGTAGGAAGCAAAAGTGCTACAAAGCTTGTTTTTAAGCAATTTAGACTGAGACCTATCATATAAGTGATGCCTGGCATGGTTTGCCAGTTCTTATCTGTTTCAGTTTGTACATGCATAAAAAATGCAAATTAATTTGAATAGCCACTGTGGGACAGAATAAAACCAAGACTTCCAAAAAAAACAAGTACAGACAAGTAAATTACATCCTTTTGACAGAGCATTAAACACGTCAATGAACACAGGTTGTGACTTCATTTTAATGTAGCAGTGACTCATCGCACAGAGCTCTATTTATTCATTTCCCGGCACTGACCTTGCTTATAAATGGTCAAACGTAATAAAATTGTCAACTTTGAGAATACTCTGCTTTGTCTTAATAACAACAAGAGGTCCTGATCAAATAAGTGTCATATATGAGAACAGGACTTCTCAGGTTTACTTTTTGATAAGCCGAAATATTTCATTTCATAGCACAAGAACCAGCTCCCAAAGTCGCTGAAATAGAAAAAAATGTGACTGCAACACAATTCTTACAAAGACTAAGAGACTTGAAGTTAAAGCATCAAACTGAGCAAGACTCGGGTTTATAGAGGGCTGGAAGAGCAAAGGTTTTCCTGGGATAAACCCCGCTCAACTGGGCCTGGCAAAGGCTCCCAGAAGCTGCCGGGCTCCAGGAAATCACAGCAACGGCTATGTAAACACAAGGGGCTCTCGCCTTTGAGCCGAGGTTTGCAAACCACAGGCTGCAAGATGARTTTGCTGCTTTGTGCTTTTGTTATTTCGCAGCGAAGGAGAAACTTTTTATGCTTGTGCAGACGACCGCAGCAAGCCGAACCGTAAAAAAGCTGGATTGCACCAACGAGCAATACTGTTTGCTGGCCTAACATCAAGTGCCTTATAAGGTTGCTTATAAAAGAATTACTAGAACTTTCATGATAAATTGCTGCTAAAAAAGGAGCGCAGTAAGTGATATTAGTGATTAGATGGACTGTATCTAACAGATACAAACTAAGAGAACTGTCAGGAGAAACACAGCACAACAAGGATCTAACAATGCACAAATGTGCAATATTTAAGACTGATCCTTCTGATAAACAGGGGCTTTTTCTGTTACATATAAAGTTATTCCAGCCCTTTAAAACCCTGTGAGGATGCACTGCACTCACACAGACAACTACATCACGTATGGGCACGTCTCCCACCTTACCCCCAATTCAGACAGTTTTAAGCAACATCCACCCAACCTGCCGTTACTTTAGGGAACCCCTCAGCTATTCAAAGCATCTTTACGATGACACCCGGCTGCATTACAGGTCCTCCCCCACAGCGCACACCTTACTCCGGGTGAGCTGTTTTCCAAGGACGATAACCCAGGTGCTGAGTCCATCAGCGCAGCCGACTTCTCCTGACTAACCTTGCACAGGATGCCAGGACCCACACTAGCATCAAAGCTTGAGCCTGAGATTCCGTTCCAGAAAGATAAAATTTAAAAATATATATATTTTTTTTTTCCTCCCCTTCTCTTTCCCGCAGCCTGCCACCAGCTCCGGTGCCCGCTCCGGGCTAGTCGCTGTTTACCCTCCCCCGCAGCAGGGCTACCGTGAGCGGGCGAATCGCTGCCCCATCCATCGAACCGCTGGAGCAGCAGCTCCTCCCGGGCAGGGCTCCCCGCGGCGCTCGGCGGACGTTTCGGCGCCTGTCGCTCGGCGCTGCCTCAGCGGCGCTGCCCCCCCCGCCCCCCTCTCCCGCCCCCGGGCGGGCGCGCGCCCCTCACCGGCTCGGAGCTGCAGGCTGCCGTCCCTGCGGCTGCACCAGAGCGCGCGCTCGCCGCTCTGCAGGATGTAGTGGTCCTTGGCTTGGAAGAGCTCCATGGCGGCGCGTCGCCCGCCCGAGGGAAGGGATGGGAAGGAGGGATGAGGGAGGGAGGGAGCGGGAAGGGATCCGGGCGCGCCGCAGCCGCGCGGCCTCCCGCGCGCGCGCGCACGGACAGGGGCGGGGGGGAGTGCGCGCTCCCGCGTGGGTTCCGGCCCACGTGACGCGGCCCGTCAGCGCCTCCCCGCCCTCTTAAAGGAGCCGCGCGGCGCTCGCCGGTAGCGGGCGGCCGTTAAYGGCCGTTAGGGGCGGGAGGGCCGCGCTGGTCTCAGCGCCCGCCGCGGGGGACACGGGGACAGGCCCCGGGAAGCTGCCGGTGCTGGAGCGGGGCAGCCCCTCTTAATTTCCCTGTGAAATTCACACGGAGACSGTCATAGCCTAAGCTATCCCGGACATGTAGGCGCTGGGAAGTGGCTCYCTTTGAAGTACGTGCTTAGAATAGCTTGAGAAATAACAGCGTCTATCAGTAATTTTTAAAAGTACTGGGAAATTAATTTTCTCGTCTCTTTCCCTGTCTTTATTTACCSTTTTTCTGAAAAGAATGATAAACTTTTCAGGTGTCTTATAGAAAGTCCTTTTTTTTTTTTCCAGGCTTTATATAGCTTTATATGTAAAAAGTTTGTGGGGTTTTTCCCTTTTAAAAATGTTATTAATGGGATGTGAGCTCTCTGATGCCCTTGCTTGGGCGGGGATGGTAAAGGAAAAATAAAATAGTAGTGGGACTATGGATGGAAGGGCACTCCTTGGGTTGGCAGTTYGCTCCAGGGCTCCTATGTTTCCCCGTGGCCGGGATGTAAAAGGGGCCTCTGTCCTTCCCTGGCAGCAGGTGCCAGTTCCGAAGTGCCCGGCGGCCTCCCGAGCAGCAGCCCMTTCCTGCTCCAGCACCAGAGCCACGGACGGGTTCATGTGAGTAACTCCGGTCCCTCTGGCAGGTCCRGGCAAGAGAAGGGCTTCAGCAGCAATTCAGCATCCCAGGAAGCGTGAATTCCGAGTGCACTGCTCGCTGCATTCAACATTTGCTTAGCAGTTATTGTATGCTTAAGTCCATCCCTGTTAAGTAATGTAATTAATCCTGTTATAATAAATAGGATGTACCACAGACTTAAAATGAAACTCACCAAACAGCTTTGCTTTTATCCTTCATTCTGCCAGTTGTCTTTACAGATACCTTTAAAAATCAGAGAATTGAATAGACAGAGGTGTCAGTAACATGTGCAGGATGTGCAGAAACAGTATCTAACACAAGGGAAAATTGTTTTATCAGAGAGTTAGTAATGTTACAGTCAAATCRCAGGCTTAACATCAAGTTCATTGCCCCTCCTGAAGCTTTAGAATACAAATTAAAACAAAAAAGTACGTTGACTAATAAGTCATGAACACAAGATGAAAAAAATACTCTGTACATACACTGTACAAAAATTCAGTGTAGAACTCTTAGKAGGGGTAATTGAGAGAATTTAAAATCGCAAGAGATGAAGGCTTTATGTTTCATTGAGATTCTTTTCCCTAAACCCCTCTGCTTTTCCCCTATGCTTCTGTTTTTCTCGTACATACACCTTATTTAGAAACTATTGYGGTTTCTTTATACAAAAGAATATATTATGCTTTTATATTTATGATTGGGAAAGCCACAGCTGCTGAACGTTTCTCCAAAATATACTCTTAGCTTTACTTTGTTTGCTCYTGTGTAAGTTTTCTTCATTTTATTCTCTTAATTCTTCATTTTTCCAAATTCCTCCTCTTGTCTGATCATTTTTTTTCTGTTCTCTCTAGTCATCTGTATGTTTTGTCTGCAATCTGCAGTCTGCAACCGGAATTCACAGAAATCATAGAATGCCCTATTTTTTTATTCCATCCTTCAATCTGAGCAGAGCTCAGTTTAGGACATAGAGCCAACGCAGCTGTGAATAGGTTTGAAAGAGTGAGAAAGTATTTCTGATGTCTGAACAATATTGGCAGCAAGATCAGGTTTTTGTTTGTTATCAAATCTTCTGCATTAAGTGTCAAGTGGAGATGGTTTTATAGTTTATAGGGGAAAAATACATCTCCTTATTTTATATATTTATTCTAATATAAGCCATAGAAAAAATGGTTATTCCAACGTACACTTCAAAAATATCACCTCACTAATATGGACTTCCACTATCCTGTTTTCAGTATGTTGTGTGCCTCTCTTCTGACACCCTTTTTAAAGTCATGGGAGATGGATATGGCTGGTGAAGAAGCCATATCCTTCTACAGGCACTGTTTAATTTGGACCCTGATTACGAGGATCTGACATTTTATCCTGCCTGAATAATGCAAGGAAGGTTTTAAGAAGCAACCCAGGCTCTTTATAACATTTCTTTAAAATGAATACTTYCTTGAAATAGGAAAAATGAGGTCAGAAGTCAGGAAAAAAGAAAAGTTAATTGTAGCAAAATCTAAAGTGAATTTGTGCAAATGAAGAAAGAACATCATAAGTATTAGGTATGCTTTATTGTATTTTTGTTTTATTATTTTGCAGGGCTTAGAGTTAAAAGTACATTTCAAGTAAATGAAATAAAGGATACAATTATTAGGAAGGGGTGGTATTCAGGCAGGTGCATAAAGACCCTCACACAAGTAGAAGGGTGCAGGCGGCTTCCCTAGCAAAGCACAGCAATGYTGTCAGCTTTCTGACTTGAAGCAAAATGCATTAATGCCCAAAGAAAATGAAGCCTAACCAGGAAGGGACAGTCTTGTGAAATTTCATACAGAATCAACAAGTAGCAGAGCTGCGATTGCAGTGGGAGATGTCACACCAGGAACTTTCAGTTAGAGACGCAGATGTCCTTCAGACCAAGCTGTGTCCTGTGGGTTTAGCTGCCTGAAGAGGAAAGGGTGCGAAGTGGCAAGAGCCTTTGAGGTTGTTCAGCTGCTTAGCTYGGGAGAAGCCATGCTGGAACTTGTGCTGGAGAGAAGCTGCTCTGATCCTGCAGGGAAGCCAGCAGCTGACAGCTACAGGGTATTCTTGGTGGTGGTAGCTGCAGCGTTCCCATTTTCACAAGGAAATGTGTGATGCCTGATTTGAGTGCTTGGAGGCTGAGTTTTTCACTGGTGGGAGATGAGGAGGATTCTTGGGAAGTTAATTCTCAGCAATTTGGRTACAATCCAAGGAAATGGTGGTAGAAAAAGTGGAGCTGATTTTCAGCWTGGCTAATTGGGTCAATTGCTTGTTGACTAGCTGGGCTGTGGCAGAACAAATCACCTAATGTGCAGGTGGGACAGGAAGCTGTTGCATCTCCTGCCCACGGCATTAACAAGTGTAATGCCAGTGCTACAGCCCGGGTACACAGGCATGGACTCGGAAGGGAGAGGGAATGGCTCTCCTGGGGACACAGCAAGGACACTGAGGTTATTTTGGGAGATGAAGAGAAGAACGTTAAGAGGAAATGGAGGATTGCTCATAATTGAGAAACCGATACTTTCTGAGGGGGCCCACTGAAAATMAGAATGGAAGAAAGCTGACCTCAATGAAATGACTTAGATTACTTATTTTTARTTGTTATGATTCTTCTTTATTATTTATGCAAGTGCGATTTAAAATTATTCCCATGCCTATGAACACTAGAAACTTATTCTTTAGCGTGTGGGGTTTCTCCCAGCAGCAGCATCTCAGGAGACATGCTTAGGAGCTTTTGAAAGTTTTAGGGCAAACAAATGATTTTGTAAGGCAGGAAAAAAGTGTAAGGGAAAATAGGAGAGATGTGTGGGGTTAAAGGGGACTCATGGGAGGAAGAACAACTGTGAAGTTTGTAGGAAAAATGGGTTGARAAAGAGATAGTTTTCAATCTAAGCTAATGCAAATTTGAGTTGTCCTCTTTTGCATAATGGAATCRCTCCACTAATGACAAGTTTGATTTTATTTCCCTGTAAAGAGCGTGCAAATGTCATCTACTAGGCTCCTCTGGATCTCTAGAAGGATGTGCTTATACACAGAGCTGGTGTCAGTTTGAATGATCTGCACTGACACTTGCAAGAGAAACAGGAAAAAAACTGCAGCCTGTACCTAGAAACCATCCCAGCTATGTCCTGCTGTCTTATCCTCAAAGCCGATCTATAGCTCCTCTGTAAGTTCCTAGAATCTAGCCCRTGGATAGCTGCTTGTCCCTGCCTGGCTTTCTGTCTTGCTGCAGTGCAAGGAGTATAGATACTTCTATAAAAAAACAGGCTGTATGGGAAAAACATATGGGCTATAGCTGCTTAGTGTGTGTTACAAAGCATCGAACAGRTCACTGCTCATATGGTAATAGAGCCTCTAGGTGCTCTGTGTACACCCCTGTGTGCCTGAAATATTTCCTTGTGGTGTTCTAGGCAGTGCAAATAAAGCTCATATCTAGTCTTACCCTTTCCTCATTTTTTGGTGAAAATGTAAGCATTTGACTTTTACATGTGACTCTTGCCTTTTACACATATTTTGAATTAATTATATGAGAAACCTGTAGAGACTTTTAAGTAAGATAATTAATTTTGTCCTGTAATAATAATCTATTTGGATATGACAATAAAAACGATGCCCTGCTCCCTGCTATGGATTCCATGTGCTCAGGTAAGAGTGACTGCTGCATCAGTAGCTGTTGAGCTATTTCTCATAGCAGTGGAGCAGGAATGGGAACGAGCAACTGAGGGCTCCCAAATGTCCATTCTCAAAATGTCCATTCAGCCCGTGGCTGATTTTCCTTCCCCTGCCAGAGGTTTCTGCTTCCCCTCTCTGATGGCAAATCAAGTGGGCTTTTTGGACATGCGTTAGCAGAGAGGACTTACTGATGGAAKGGCATGGACCACAGGGAAGGAGAGCCTCTTCAACTGCCCAATAAAAAGATAGAGCAATCATCATTAACCTACTTATCATCAAGCAGCACTGCTTTCAAATCGTTCTTTGATAGGATTGTTTTCTCTCTGATGGAGTATTTCTACATTAATGTGTTGYTGAAGTATACCTGTTATTAATGCTGCATATCAAAGTGAAAAATCTCCTTCTTTGARTGTTCACATTCAAGACTAGGCAAGATCCTGATTTTG